AAGAAGAGGCTTGATGCCTACCTGGCTGGACTCATTTGAGTCCAGTCTTTTCTCCCGCCCAGGTGGGGGGTCGGACTTGAAGATCTACAAGGTCCCTTCTGACCCTACTTCTACGATTCTATGATTCTATGGTGCTGGCTCCTACCCTGGGTCTTTAAGACAAGGCTAGATGAACACCTTTCTGGGGTTGTTTGACCCCAGTACTTTTCCTGCCCAGGCAGGGGGTTGGACTTGATGATCTGCTCAGGTCTCTTCTGACCCTACAACCTATGAAATGTTAAAAGTAAAATATCTTTTACTGGCACATATTTTTATAAAATTATAAACAAAACTCTCAGGTTCATTCCAGATGGAATACAGTTAAAATTTCACATCCATAAGTGACAGAGATTACACAAAGATGCCAAAGATCACAAGTGCTAAAAAAACAGAATCCTTACTAGCCTTGGCAGTACATTGATGGTGACTTGGCAATACAGTTCTCTCTTTGGCGTACAAATGTTGCATTAACAATTGAAAACAGTGTATCTGGTCCTGCGTAACAGAGTGTACCTTCAAGGGTGGTTCATGGCACCCCCTGACGGCTGTGTGGCACCTATCTGCCTACCCTGGCACCCTGATCTGACTCCTCTCTTCATCCTGCCACACCTTAATGTTATGATTAAGATGCTGTTTAGGAGGCTTCCTTTGGATAGCCAAAACATAGCCATGGGTGCCTTGCTTCCCCCTCCTTCCTCCTTCCCAACGACTAGTTCAACTGGGTAATGTGGGGTCCTTTCTTCTCTCCCTCTCTCTCACCCTCTCCCTCTGTCCATGTCTGGGGCTTCAGACCTGTTGGGCTCTAGCCCACCCTACTTCAGTCAGGGCCCCTAGCCCACCTAGATTCAACTCCCTCCTAGGACTCCATCTGGAGGCCTCCATACCTCCTCCCACAGCTGACCCAGTCTACTGGATGTTACTAACAAATGAGCAGAGAAAAAGAAAGAAACACCAGATCCATATGGGGTTCACATATGCAGTCCTTGGTCTTTGGCGCATGCCCACTTTCCCAGCCACTCCCTGGCCCAACATAAACTGTCTTCAGACTTCTGAGTTTATTCCATCCTCCAGGTCCACTCCTGGGTTGACATAAACTGTTCTCAGTGCTTGTGCACTCACTCATTTATTCTCCCTCAATATGGATTCCACCTGGGCAGCAGCTCCCCTTGCTGGACTTGCATTGTCCCTGTGTCTCTGGAGGGCTCCATCATTATCCACTGCTGGATCCAGTCCACCATCCATTCCCCCTCTCTGCTCTGGAGGAAAGTTTATATCCCAGTCAGCCCCATCTCCTTGGTCAGCTGGCTGGGCTTCCTGTTCACATGGCCTAGGTGTTGTTAATCCGTCTTCATCTCTCACTGCCAGTCCTACAGCCAGCTGTTTGCAAGCTGGGCTCTGCAGGGGTGAGTCCATAGCCCAGTATCAGTCATCACCTCAGGAGTTTTTTGATCTCACTTGCAGGAGGCAGCTTGCTGCCTCTTGCTGGGTGCCTCTCTTGGCAGCTGGGATCTCTATCATTGTGGCTGCCTTGGCAAGGCTTTTTCCTGCTGCAGGAGATACCTTTCTCCTTTAGGATACCAAGGTTCTAACTTCAAAGGGACCTTGCTTATTTTTCTTCCCATGCCCTATTTTCTCCATAACAGGGTGAGGGCTCCCTGTTACACCATGCATACTAGGATTTATTAAATATGACATTTTACTTGGCAAATTTTTATCAAAGATGTGTTCCTGAATCACATGAATTCTCTCAGTTGTTGTTTTAGAGTAGCTACTTGTGAACAACTGCATCTATTATAGGAAATCTCGATAGTCTTGTTTTTTATTTCATCAAAGTAATGCTGCCAAGAACAAACTTTCACAAAAAACAGGCTCCTTGGTTGATTAGCAGGCAGCTAATCAGTGTAGATGATTTAAGAGTGCCATTACACTTTCTGACATAACTACACCCATTCTTCACTTTGGTATATAGCCCATGATTTTTTTTCAAATTTGAGAGATTGCAGTAGGCATTGATTTTTTGCTACTTTCTAAACATATTTTTTCTGTTCCATAGACAGAATTCTAAATCCTCATATCTGCATGTGAACACATCTAGGAGGCAATACACATGGAACAAATTAAAAACATGCCCATTTTCCTATTTCATATTGTTTTATGTTTTTGCTTGTCCCATAATTATGATGAATTATTTGCCATGGGTTGCAGGGGGGAGGATGGGGACTTGGTACTATTTATGGTAGAGATGAATTATGCAATGGGAATTGTGGTTGTGCAAGGAGCACTGACATTTTGGTAAGCTTTCTTCAGCTGTACCCTTCAGCACTACTGGAGTGCTACTGATTGACTTTGCCTGCTGAATTGTGTCCATTTTTGGGGCACTGTACTACATGAAAGAATTTGCAGGAGAGCTTCACAAATGATTAGAAATCTAGAAAACATGACTAAGGTGGAGATTTGATAACAGTCTTTAAATACCAAAAGGGTTGCTATAAACAGGAAGATGTCTGGTTTTCATTGGGCATGTCTACACAAGGTTTTATATTGCCATAGTGAGGACTACATCACCGTAGTGAGGAGCTATGTCCACGTAGCTCATTGCTATGGTGATGTAACATTGGTGGGGACAAACTGTGACACCAATGCTACTGCACAGTAGCATGGGAAAAAAAACCCTGTGTGGTGTTGGGACTGCACAGTTTACTGCAAGTACTAAATGACTGCGCAGTAACAACTGCTCAGTGTGGCATGTGTAGACGATCCCATTGTGCCATTAGGACAAAAAGAAATGGGCTTATACTTCAACGGAGGAATAAGGTTGGATATTGGGAAGAAATTTTTAAGTAGGAGGGTGGTTACATACTAGAACAGATTATTTTGGAAGATAGTGGAATCTCCATTCACAGGAAGTTTTTAAGAGCAGCTTAGGCAAAGACTTGTCTGGAATAATTTAGACCCATATGTCCTGGCTTCAGGGGATTGGACCGATGACCACATGAGATCCCTTCCAAACCTGTTTTTCTATACGAAAGCTACAGTTGAAAAGACTTGGCTGATTTTTTTTCATATCCTGTCTAGCATTACAGCCTTCTATAAGTTTGTGAGAATTTGGGGAGGGGTGATCTCAAGGTTTAAAATCTCTTTTCCATCCTTAATTATGATGAATGCGAATCAGTTTGGGGAGATAACTTGTCATTAACTGTGACAATTGATCTAATCTGTTTGTAAATAAAAGAACAGATTAACATCTTGCCCTTGTTTGAAAGGGCCCTCCAATGGCAGAAGCTGTAGTGTAGCCCTGGCCCCAGAGTGAGATGCATGGGTGGAAAGATAGATGACTACTATCAGCTACCACCCCTAATATGAAAAGCAGAGTGTTTGTCCTGGGAGCCTTCCTCCTGACGGGGGCAGGGGGAGCAATCTGCCACTTCAATCCCTTAGCCTGGGAGGTCTGCTGCCTCCTGGATGCCCATATCCAGGATATGGCTGGGAGGATCCCAAAATTTATCTGGCCCTTCAACCACTATCCCATGGTTCTTATCCGTGTGGGCATAAATGACATGTCTTGGAGTAATCCCAGATGGGTCATGAATGTCTACAGGGCTCTGGAAGCAGGGCTCCAGGGGGTTGGGGGCACAGGTGTTTTTTCCCTCAATCCTTCCAGTTATGGGTCATGGCCTGAGGAGGGTGAGACGAATTGAGGTAGTGAACAGAAGAAGCTGGGTGACAGTGACCAGAAGTTGATCACTTTCACTATCCATCATAAAGCTGGCAAATCAGTCAGCAATACAGTAGTCCTTGACTTTAAGAATGCCAACTTTCATAAACTCAGGCAGCTTGTTCTTGAGGCCCTGAGAGGCCATGATTTGCCAGGGAGGGCATTT